CTTCCTGACAGTTTGTCTATACAGGGTATCCGATTTGCCTGAGTGTCGGTTATCCGAGACAGAACAGCCGACATACAGGACACGGCAGCCTTGCAGGTTCTCTGCTCGTCAATGCCGTGTTGGCTAGGCAGTTTTCAGTTCTGAAAATCCGCCCAGTCCAGTAACCCTACCGTTTCCGCTTGTTGAATGCCCCCTTCTAGGGCTCTACCCTGTTCAGGGGAGCTCTTCCTTGGGTTCAGAAGGATATGAAGGAGGACTCTGTCGCCTCAGCACTTCTGGTGAAGAGGTTTCAGGCTGAGAAGGCCAGTGCCTCGCAGGGGTCAGTGCCTCCTAAGAAGAAGGCGAAGTCTTCGGCTGCTCAGTTTTCTGCACAGCCCAAGTCCAAACCTCACTTCAACGGCAACAAGGGGAAGGGTAGGAAGGGTAAGAAACCTCCTGGGGGCAAGAAGAAGGGTTCCTGACTATTTCTGCTTCTTGGCCGCGAAAGGCGAAGGGTATGGCCGGGTGGACGGTGGTTCTCCTTTCCCGGGCTCATGTCCTTCTCCCGCAGGCTCAGGCTCCGGGTGGGCAGACAATTCTCTGGTCTGGCAGGGGCTCAATCTGCCCCATTCGGAACTCCCTGTGGGCGGACGTCTCTCTGCTTTCCTTTCCCAGTGGCAGGATATTACAGATGACGCTTGGGCTTTTGTCGGTGGTCAGGGAGGGTCTAGGTATTCTCCTTCTTCAGGATTCGTCCCTTGCCTCCTGGCCGTTTTTGTTTCTTTCCTCCTCCCGGGGATTCAGAAAGGGCACGGGTGCTCCAAGAGGAAGTAGGGACCATGCTGCCAAGGCAGAGATGCCCTTGGGGCTCACGACAGCTCCTTTGGTGTTCACCAAGTTGCTGCTGGTGTTTCCTTCACTCACGCAGAATAGACGTCCACATCTATTTCGACGACTCCCTCATGCCTCTTTTGGTGTGGGAATCGTTAGTGAAGGACACTCGTCTGGTCCTGAAACTCTTGCTCAGAGTCGGCTTCATTCCTTCCAGAGAGAAGTCAGAGGTTCCTTCATATTAGGACTTCTTCTTCCTGGGGAACCATTTTGACATGGTTCGGGGCTTAGCCCTTCCACCTCTGGAGAAGTTTGAGAAGGTCAGGGCTCTGGCTCTGACTTTCATCACTTGGTCGCTTGTCCAGGTACATTGGTTCCTCAGTTTTCTGGGGTATCTCAACTCCTTGGCATATGTGGTCCCCCTAGGGAGGATTCACATCGGACCTCTCCAGATGTTCCTCCTGTCTGACTGGGTTCCGTCATCCAGGAGGCCTGGATCCCGCTTACCCAGTCGGTCAGGGAGTTCTCTTGCTGGTGGACCATTCAGGAGAACGTTTTCCATGGGGTACCTCTGACCAAGCCTTTCCCCTCTATGATCCTGTTCATGGACGCATTCATGACAGGAATGTGAGCTTACCTCGATGGCCAATGCCGCTCGGGGGAGTGGTCTGGCGAACAGCTCTCGGAGCACATCAGTGTACTCGAGATGAGACTGTTCATTTGGCTCTGCAGTCCTTTAGGGGTATCCTGCAGTCCAAAGTGTGGCTACCGACAACAGTTGTCGCGTATCTGGAGAGACAGGGGCCACCAGGTCTCATGTCCTGTGTGCCCTCTCCATCCACATCCTTCTTCTCTGCCAGGACATGCAGTTGACCATAGCGGTCAAGCATCTTTCTGGCAGGCTGAGTGTGTTGGTGGCCACTCTCCAGGCGCCACCAGCCGGTGTTGACGGAATGGCAGCTGTGTCCCTTGATTTTCAAGGGGAATTGTCAGGCGTGGGACAGACCTATTATAGACCTGTTTGCCACTTCCCTGAACAACCAGCTGCTAACCTTCGTCTTCCCGGTCCCAGACCGTAAGGCGTGGGCTGTGGACGCCCTTTCTCTGGAATAGGAAGGGACGTATGCATATGCATTCCCTCCCTTCAACCTGGTGGGCAGGGTTCTACAGAAGTTCTGGGAGCATCACTGCTCCTTACTTCTGAGAGCCCCTTTGTGGCCGAGGCAAGCTTGGTTTCAGGAGCTCTTGTCGTTTCTGGTGGAGGAGCCCTTGGCTCTCCCCACCAGACCGAATCTCCTTCGCCAGCCTTGGCCCAGAACGACACACTCTTGACCAGAGATCCTCCACCTTCACGCGTTGAGGCTATCTCTGGAAGCCACGCCAAGGCAGGCTTTTCTCAAGAGGTGTCAGATTGCATTGAGCAATCAATCAGGGCTTCCTCTACTGCCGTCTACCAGTCACGTTGGATGATCTTCTGTGATTGGTGTGTCGGCAAGGAAGCTTATTCATTCGAAGCCTCTGCATTTGATTGCGGACTTCCTAATCTCTCTGTTTAGGTACCGCTATCTGCCACCTGGCACTATTGCTGGCTATCGTACAGCTATTGCCAGAGTTCTTGCTTGTTATGGCAGGAAGGAGATCGGTTAGTCCTCCTCTCTTTCTGCCCTAATCAGAGGCTTTGCTATGAATAGAGTTGTTTTTAGCGAAGAATCAGGTTCTGGGGTTCTCGCACGATCCCATCAGGATCCTGGCTGTGACTAGCTCGGAGGAGCGAGATAGGTTGCTTTGTCTTTGTCGGGCTCTTAGGTTTTATCTTGGGGGGGGGGCTCTCGATCCCGTCTGTTTTGCCCATTAAACAGGGACAACGAGATATCTCCTCCCAGTCGGTTTCCAGGTGGATTTGCCAGGTGATTTAGTATGCTTACGAGCATTTTGATGATCTGGCTTGGGCGAGAGCGAAAGCGCGGTCTCACGAGGTCAGGGCCCTTGCTTCATCCTGGGCCCTTCTCTCAATGAGTCCTCCTTTCAGGAGGTCATGTCTGCAGTATTCTGGCAGGGCAGGGATACCTTCACAGATTTTTATTTGTGATCCCTAGCTTCCCACTCAGAAGGCCTGTATTCATTGGGACCTTTGGTGGTGGCATAGTCAGTGGCTGGGCCTCCTTGTTAGCCCTGGGCCATGTCTTTCCGTACGGCGGCATGTGGGTACACCTGCTCTTTCACAGAGAGGTCCCTTCCTTCACTTTAGCACTCTGTTCTCCCTCCCTACTACTTTGGTTGTGCTGAAGGGGCTGCCTGGCTTCTAGTCACCACTACGGTAAGACGAATTCGCATACTAAAGTTATGGTAATTATTACTGAAATGAAATTGAGGTTTTTTAATGTAAAACCAATTTTCATGATGTAATACTTACCATAACTTTATGGAGTCCCACCCTATCCTCCCCTCTTCCTTATCTGCCTGGCTGCCCCTCTGTGGGGTTTACGCCATAAAGGTTATTAGAGGAAGGGAGATCACTCTGCGTTCCTGCCGTGATGGCTCATGGATCGTAGGGAGGGCGGGATTGTTTTGAATCTTTTGTTGTTGGGATACAAAGATGGGTGTAGGTACTGTATTTGCATACTAAAGTTATGGTAAGTATTACATCATGAAAATTGGTTTTACATTAAAAAACCTCAAGTCAGTAGTATGATAGCTTAGTCAGTAGTATGATAGCTTAGTCAGTAGTATGATAGCTCAGTCAGCAGTATGATAGCTTAGTCAGTAGTGTGATAGCTCAGTCAGTAGTGTGATAGCTCAGTCAGTAGTATGATAGGCCAGTCTGATAGCTCAGTCAGTAGTATGATAGCTCAGTCAGTAGTATGATAGCTCAGTCAGTAGTATGATAGCTCAGTCAGTAGTGTGATAGCTCAGTCAGTAGTATGATAGCTTAGTCAGTAGTGTGATAGCTTAGTCTGTAGTATGATAGCTCAGTCAGTAGTGTGATAGCTCAGTCAGTAGTGTGATAGCTCAGTCAGTAGTGTGATAGCTCAGTCAGTAGTGTGATAGCTTAGTCTGTAGTATGATAGCTCAGTCAGTAGTGTGATAGCTTAGTCAGTAGTGTGATAGCTCAGTCAGTAGTATGATAGCTTAATCAGTAGTATGATAGCTCAGTCAGTAGTATGATAGCTTAGTCAGTAGTATGATAGCTCAGTCAGTAGTATGATAGCTCAGTCAGTAGTGTGATAGCTCAGTCAGTAGTATGATAGCTTAGTCAGTAGTATGATAGCTTAGTCAGTAGTATGATAGCTCAGTCAGTAGTGTGATAGCTCAGTCAGTAGTATGATAGCTCAGTCAGTAGTGTGATAGCTCAGTCAGTAGTGTGATAGCTCAGTCAGTAGTATGATAGCTCAGTCAGTAGTGTGATAGCTTAGTCTGTAGTATGATAGCTTAGTCAGTAGTATGATAGCTCAGTCAGTTGTGTGATAGCTTAGTCAGTAGTATGATAGCTCAGTCAGTAGTGTGATAGCTTAGTCAGTAGTATGATAGCTCAGTCAGTAGTATGATAGCTCAGTCAGTAGTATGATAGCTCAGTCTGATAGCTCAGTCAGTAGTGTGATAGCTTAGTCAGTAGTATGATAGCTTAGTCAGTAGTATGATAGCTCAGTCAGTAGTATGATAGCTCAGTCTGATAGCTCAGTCAGTAGTGTGATAGCTCAGTCAGTAGTATGATAGCTCAGTCTGATAGCTCAGTCAGTAGTATGATAGCTCAGTCAGTAGTATGATAGCTCAGTCAGTAGTGTGATAGCTTAGTCAGTAGTGTGATAGCTTAGTCAGTAGTATGATAGCTTAGTCAGTAGTATGATAGCTTAGTCAGTAGTATGATAGCTCAGTCAGTAGTATGATAGCTTAGTCAGTAGTATGATAGCTCAGTCAGTAGTTTGATAGCTCAGTCAGTAGTATGATAGCTCAGTCAGTAGTATGATAGCTCAGTCAGTAGTATGATAGCTTAGTCAGTAGTATGATAGCTTAGTCAGTAGTGTGATAGGCCAGTCAAGCTTTTTTCTGTTCTGTTTGGTAGCTACCAGGTACTGGAAGGAGACCCTGCCTCATTGTTACTTTTGATGTTTACTTGTTGGTAAACTCAGTAGACAAACAGACACATTGATTACTTATGAAAAATCTAATGCTGTAAACATTTGATTTCTAAGGTTCGCTTGGCTGCATCAACAACAACAAGACGATTTTTGTTAAGTCTTCCTTCAGAAAAAAGCAGAGAACACTTCTTTCCTGCTCTCCTACCAAAGATGTGTCTAAACAGGTTTGTATTGCAAATAACGCTTGATAAAGGATTCCCTTTAAAATAGTCTTTGAGATATCATGTTGACTTTATACTGCTTGATATCTTACTCCAGATATAAGTAAATGAGAGAATACCTGATCGATTTGATTGGATAATATTTACATTAAATAGAGGCACTTAGTATCTGTGAAACTTTGAAATTAAGGTATGTTGTAAAGTTGGAAAAGTTGAAAGATACTTCATTCACCCCAAAGATGTTTTGTTAGAATTTTAAATAGAAATCAAAACTTTTTCCTGAAGTGATTCAAAATAAAAAAAAATGAGAGTGGCTTTTATAACTATTCAACCAATTTCGAAACTGTGTAAAATTTCCTGTGGTCTTGAAATGAGATGCTATCTGAGGGCCAATCATACTACAACATCAGTATGGACCATGTTACCTGTATTTCCTTTTTGTTTTAGTGAGATATTTTTAAACTAAAATCTATGTTTTCCTTGTTAGATACTACGTAGCTGAAGGAGTACGTATATACTCACAGGACACTTGGAAACTAGTGACAAAGACTGATGGCAAACATTATGTGGAAAAGTATATTAATCAAGTGGTAGGTTTTGTTTGAATAAAACTCATTTAGCATGTTTGCTTAAAATTGGGTTGAAATGACTTTTTGAGATCAGCCAGTCAGACAGCAGAATACACTGTTACCAGAAGATTTATTACATCTATAGAATAAAGTTGGCAGCTTCCTGTTGTTTGTATTGTTTCCATATGCATGCTAACTACTCTGAATGGGGTCAGACTAAAGCTTTATACAGTAGACAGAGTAGTTTTCTTATCTAAACATATTCACTTTGTTTATGATAGCTTGTGTAAGATTTCTAAAATTTATTGTCAATGATTATTCCAAGATATTTCTCTTCCATTTTCTCAGATACAGACTACTGTTGTCCTCAAACCATCAAGAAATTAAAATGATTGGCAGCTGACCATCTTTAATTTTGACTATGAATGTTTGTTATGGCTATTGTACTTGATGGATTTCATATGTTGGTTTCCCCATGGTCTATAGTTGGACCCTTATCTTCATTAGAAAAGGTCATCAGGACAGCCAATTGGGCTTGACTACATATAGATTCCCATGTAAGGAACTCAAGAAAAATAAGAGATTTGATATTCTTTTGATACTTTCAAAATTATATATGTGTAAAATGCCATTTAACTATGTTAAGAGTTGTCCTTCTTCAGGTTAATGTTGATTTTGATTTTAACTTTTAGTTTGGACAAGAAACCCAAGTTGTTTCATAGGACTGATCCATTAACTCGGGCAGTATAAGGATTGTTGTACATCCCTGTTTGTTTCATATGTACCAGAGTTTGATAAATTACCTCTGTTGGTGGTGTAAGGATAAGTTACCAATGTTGGTGGTGTAAGGATAAGTTACCTCTGTTGGTGGTGTAAGGATAAATTATCTCTGTTGGTGGTGTAAGGATAAATTACTCTGTCGGTGGTGTAAGGATAAGTTACCTCTGTTGGTGGTGTAAGGATAAGTTACCAATGTTGGTTGTGTAAGGATAAGTTACCTCTGTTGGTGGTGTAAGGATAAATTATCTCTGTTGGTGGTGTAAGGATAAGTTACCTCTGTCGGTGGTGTAAGGATAAATTATCTCTGTTGGTGGTGTAAGGATAAGTTACCTCTGTTGGTGGTGTAAGGATAAGTTACCTCTGTTGGTGGTGTAAGGATAAGTTACCAATGTTGGTGGTGTAAGGATAAGTTACCTCTGTTGGTGGTGTAAGGATAAGTTACCTCTGTTGGTGGTGTAAGGATAAGTTACCTCTGTTGGTGATGTAAGGATAAGTTACCTCTGTTGGTGGTGTAAGGATAAGTTACCTCTGTTGGTTGTGTAAGGATAAGTTACCTCTGTTGGTGGTGTAAGGATAAGTTACCAATGTTGGTTGTGTAAGGATAAGTTACCTCTGTTGGTGGTGTAAGGATAAGTTACCTCTGTTGGTGGTGTAAGGATAAGTTACCTCTGTTGGTGGTGTAAGGATAAGTTACCTCTGTTGGTGGTGTAAGGATAAATTATCTCTGTTGGTGGTGTAAGGATAAGTTACCTCTGTCGGTGGTGTAAGGATAAATTATCTCTGTTGGTGGTGTAAGGATAAGTTACCTCTGTTGGTTGTGTAAGGATAAGTTACCTCTGTTGGTGGTGTAAGGATAAGTTACCAATGTTGGTTGTGTAAGGATAAGTTACCTCTGTTGGTGGTGTAAGGATAAGTTACCTCTGTTGGTGGTGTAAGGATAAGTTACCAATGTTGGTTGTGTAAGGATAAGTTACCTCTGTTGGTGGTGTAAGGATAAGTTACCTCTGTTGGTGGTGTAAGGATAAGTTACCTCTGTTGGTTGTGTAAGGATAAGTTACCTCTGTTGGTAGTGTAAGGATAAGTTACCTCTGTTGGTGGTGTAAGGATAAGTTACCAATGTTGGTTGTGTAAGGATAAGTAACCTCTGTTGGTGGTGTAAGGATAAGTTACCTCTGTTGGTGGTGTAAGGATAAGTTACCAATGTTGGTTGTGTAAGGATAAGTTACGTCTGTTGGTGGTGTAAGGATAAGTTACCTCTGTTGGTGGTGTAAGGATAAGTTACCAATGTTGGTTGTGTAAGGATAAGTAACCTCTGTTGGTGGTGTAAGGATAAGTTACCTCTGTTGGTGGTGTAAGGATAAGTTACCAATGTTGGTTGTGTAAGGATAAGTAACCTCTGTTGGTGGTGTAAGGATAAGTTACCTCTGTTGGTGGTGTAAGGATAAGTTACCAATGTTGGTGGTGTAAGGATAAGTTACCTCTGTTGGTGGTGTAAGGATAAGTTACCAATGTTGGTTGTGTAAGGATAAGTAACCTCTGTTGGTGGTGTAAGGATAAGTTACCTCTGTTGGTGGTGTAAGGATAAGTTACCAATGTTGGTTGTGTAAGGATAAGTAACCTCTGTTGGTGGTGTAAGGATAAGTTACCTCTGTTGGTAGTGTAAGGATAAGTTACCTCTGTTGGTGGTGTAAGGATAAGTTACCTCTGTTGGTGGTGTAAGGATAAGTTACCAATGTTGGTTGTGTAAGGATAAGTTACCAATGTTGGTTGTGTAAGGATAAGTTACCTCTGTTGGTAGTGTAAGGAAAAGTTACCTCTGTGGGTAATCTAAGGATAAATTACCTCTGTTGGTGGTGTAAGGATAAGTTACCTCTGTTGGTGGTGTAAGAATTGTTGTACATCCATTTTAGGTGGATTATTATATTGAGGCTACCGGGGCAGACAACCATGCTGTACGAGAAGCAGCATGTGCCTGTATTGCAGAACTGGGAGCCAAGGTAAGTAAAGATGGATCCAAGTGGTGAGAACACTTGCTGTACAAGTACAAGTGTGTGTTTTATAGCAGATCTTGGACCTAAGGTTAATCAAAGATAGATTTGATTGGTCAGACCACAATGTAGAAGAATCGTATGCCTTATATACCAGATCTTGCACCTAAGGTAAGTCAAAGACAAATCTGTATTGTCAGAAAATATCTGAGACCAGATGTTCTTATACACGGACTAAATGTATAGATTTCATTATTTTATTGTGATTGCTTTTTGTCCGGCAGCGTCCGGCGTTCGTCGTCCAGCGTCTGTCGTAAACAATTTACATTTTCAACTTCTTCTCAAGTTCTACATGTCTCATTGAGCTGAAACATATCTAAAATGATCGTGACATGGTCCTGACCAAAGTTCAGGTTGGTCTGAAATCCAAGATGGCCACCATGGCCGCCATCTTGAAAACACATTTTCGACTTCTCCCAAGTTCCACCAGTGCGATTGAGCCAAAACTTGCATGAAATGATCATTACATGGCACTGAGCAATGTTTGTTAATTTCAGGTTGGCCTGAAATTCAGCATGGCTGCCATTTTGAAAATACATTGAAAACACATTTTCAACTTCTTTTCAAGTTCTACCTGTGACATTTAGCTGAAACTTACCTGAAATGATCGTGACATGGTCCCAACCAAAGTTGTTAATTTGGGGTTGGTTCGAGATCCTAGATGGCCACCATGGCCTCCACCTAAAAAACACATTTTCAACTTCTTTTCAAGTTCTACCTGTGACATTTAGCTGAAACTTACCTGAAATGATCGTGACATGGTCCCAACCAAAGTTGTTAATTTGGGGTTGGTTCAAGATCCTAGATGGCCACCATGGCCTCCACCTAAAAAACACATTTTCAACTTCTTCTCAAGTTCTACCTGTGACATTGAGCTGAAACTTACCTGAAATGACCATGACATGGTGCCCTTGGATCTTAAATCCAGGTGAAATAAGTTCAAAATTTTAAATCTTTTCCATGTTTTTGATTTCGGGTAAGCTTTGTTAAACTTAAAATTATACTATTCACAAGAGTATAGCTTTTTCTGAGAAAAATGTATGAAGATTTTCAGCTTCAAATTACTCGCTGTTATGTCTACCACTAATCACTGTTTTGATCGCAGATAGGCGACTTCATCACATGACCTTTTGGAACGTCGTTTTAACCTGCCCTTTTGTTATGATTTCTAAATTTGCATGCGCAAAGACATTGTTTTCAATCTCCAAATGATAATGATATGAATTAGGGTTGGGTTGCTACTATTTTAACTTTTTCGACATTTTTAATAAAATGGTTACATCTTAAAAATCTAACCATTTAGTCCCTTTCAGTTACTCCAAATATCAACATATTTCATTTTTTTTTTTTATACACAACATAAGAAACACCATAGTTAAGGTTTATATACTATTTATTATTTAAAACACTACATAACAAGATTTGTCATAAGAAATACATTTGGCTCTTCTTTGGGGCTACTCACCATGTGTATACCTTATAAAAACATTCACATAACACCTTAACTTACTAATAATTTAACCTGATCCGAACTTAAATGATAACATGTTATTATCCGAATGAACAAGTAAAATTTAGTTATTATCTGAATGGGGAAAAGAATTTCCTGGAATTCTATTGGCCAGGTTATGGGACCAAACCCTGGAACAGGGTAAAATCTTAATCGAAAATATAACCTGGAACAAGTTATGAGACCAAACCCTGGAACAGAATAAAATCTTAATCGAAAATATAACCTGGAACAAGTTATGAGACCAAACCCTGGAACAGGGTAAAATGTTTTTTACGATGTAACCTGGAACAGGTTATGGTGCAAGACCCTGGAACAGGGTACAATCTTAATCAACCACATATCCTGGAACAGGTTATGAGACCAAACCCTGGAACAGGGTAAACTCTTAATCTACGATGTAACCTGGAACAGGTTATGAGACCAAACCCTGGAACAGGGTAAAATGTTTTTTACGATGTAACCTGGAACAGGTTATGGTGCAAGACCCTGGAACAGGGTACAATCTTAATCAACCATTTAACCTGGAACAGGTTATGGGACCAACCCTGGAACAGGGTAAAATCTTAATCGACCACATATCCTGGAACAGGTTATGAGACCAAACCCTGGAACAGGGTAAAATGTTTTTTACGATGTAACCTGGAACAGGTTATGGTGCAAGACCCTGGAACAGGGTAAAATCTTCATCAACTATTTAACCCGGAACAGGTTATGGGACCAAAACCCTGGAACAGGGTAAACTCTTAATCAACAATGTCACTTTGACCAGGTAAGTGACTAAAAACCCTGAAACAGGATAAATTTTCAAACAACAATGTTACCTGGAACAAATGTAATTGACTAAATCCTGAAACAGGGTATAAAAACTTAAACAATGTAACCTAGAAACAGGTTATATGACTAAAAATAATACATAATTAAATTTGTAACATACCAGGTAAACACTCGCACAAATACATATGCAAAAAAGGTTGGGAATAGCCATCAACAAAAACATGATGAGTAGCCCAAATACATGTTCTTAACAAAATGTAAAATTAAACAATGGCTTTGAAAATACTAAGAAATATATACAAAAAAAGGGCGATGTACGGGGATGGTGGGTGGGAAAGTTTCATAACTGTCCAATGACACTATAAACCTGCCCACGTGCTGCTTCTCTCTACACTTTGAACACTTTTCTCTCTCTTACAAACAACTGCTCTCATTGGTTCATTCTGATCACGTGAACCTATACGTCATACTAAATTTAGACACCCTACATAAATGTAAACAAACTAATATCTACCGTCAGTAATAAGTGTGTACTAATAACCTACATCAATTACAACCTATTTACCCATGCTTACACACACCAACCAGCAAATAAGGATGACGATATGTTGTGTATAAACTCAAATTAAATAAATTTCCATTTAAATGTTTGTAATCATTTCTTATTTAAATTGGTTGTTTACTTATCATATTTACAAATAAGCTTTAGTTTAACTTGTAATATCAAATGGTTTAAGTAGCAATAATAATCCTCGAAATTTTGAAACTTTTTTTCCTTTGGTTAACTTAAAGTTTGAATATAATAAATGTCTGACGATAATAAATTGTTAGATTGACAGAGAAAAAGTGCGGCCCTTTGTGCCTCGACTACTGGAGACCTTAATCATATGTTTTAATGATGAGAGCTGGCCTGTGCGAGATGGTAATTATTATCTTTGTACAAAAGAGTTATCAATATTCATAGTGTTGTGAAATTTTCTGTTGTCAATGTTCAGCTGTTTGGTGTTTGCAATTTAATTCAAATTATCATATTTGTTGGTTAATTCTCATACAGGTTTCTGATCAACTGGATACATTTTCAATACAATATCAAAACCAGAATGTCAGTTTCATGAAAAATTGTTAAAACCAGGTTTGTTTTCTGTTTGCCAGTAAATATTTCCACAAGGTTGTTTAGATATTACTTATTGTGGAGCATTTAGCATATCAAATTACAAGGGCCTATTTCTTAAAAAATACTTTACATTTAACATTTAGCATTTCACTTAAAGCATAAAGCATTAGCATATCTTATTATGATTAATTCATCTTGAAATTTAAGTGCATTAAAGAGACAGTATTCCACCTATATTGATACTTTGATTTTGTTGTACCAAATTGCACAAGTGTATAAGAGTTTGGTTGAGATATGTTGTATTGACCTCATCAGAAGACTGTATATCAGTACTAACTGTAATACAGTGGTACTACCAGTTTTCTATTATCACTGCTGCAGTTCCTCTTACTTACAGCTGCCTGTGTGGCAAGTGGAAACTTTGTTGTCTGTTTTCCAGAAGAATCCAGGTAAATGTTCAGACGACTGATGCACACATACATATCTCCTACTTTCAGAACCATTCTGGGATGATGCTGTTCCAGAACATCAGCACAATATATCCTCAAGCTGATGTTATTAAGTATCATTAATAACAATCAGGATAAATCATAAGTTGGGAAATGGAGGAAATATACTGGTACATGTAGTTAATTTGATGTTTTCCAGATTTTTTACCCACAACGCAGACATCAAACTATGGATTTAAATATAATCAAAGATGTAGGAAAGTATATGCCATTACAGTGTATATGACTGATGTGAACACTATGAAATTATACCACTATGTAAATTTGGGAATTCTCGAGGAAATGACCTGGTATCTAATTCCAAGCAACAATGTATATCCCTGACGTCGACATCCAAACACATGTATATACATCAAACAATTAATGCAAATAGTACAAATTATTTATCTGTTCTCAGTTTGTATTCCATACATTACTGATCTGTTTGATTTTACCTGTTCAGAAACATCTTTCCCTAGTTACAATCCTGTATCAGATAAACAACATACCTAATGTCTTAATAAATGGCTTCATTGCTGTTTATATTGTGAATTATGACCACTGTATACTTAGATTCCATTTCTGATTTTTCTTCTTTTTACTTCATTTTTAGGAGTTCACTGTCAGCTTTATATCCCTTGTTCTTCAATAATTTACAAGACAACATTCCATCTGTGCGTCAGGGTGCTGCATTAGCACTATCCAACCTTGTACAGGCCTATGGTATGTAATGTAAATAGGACCTTTCTTTTCTTGTCCTTGCCAACACTTTTGATCTTTTTCTTTACCATGGCCCATGATATGATTCAAAGATGTATCAGTTCAGGTAATGATGAAAGATCCAGAGAATCTTATATGATGGTCAGATTCATGTGAGTGTTGAGTTTGCAATGTGCAAAAATAAAGCATATTTGACAAATCTAATCAATCTTGTTTTAAATGTTGAAAAAGGTAAGGATTACTTTTTAGCCCGCCATCATCAGATGGTGGGGTATTCAAATCGCCCTGCGTCCGTGGTCCGTCCGTCCGTCCGTCTGTAAACAATTCTTGTTACCGCTATTTCTGGAAAAGTACTGGATGGATCTTGCTCAAATTTCATATGCAGTTTCCCCTTGGTCCCTAGTTGTGCATTGTATCTTTTTTGGACTGATTTGAATTCAAGATGGTCGACAGGCAGCCATCTTGGATTTTGGAAGTAAAAGTTTGTTACCGCTATTTCTGGGAAAGTACTGGATGGATCTTTCTCAAATTTCATATGCAGTTTCCCCTTGGTCCCTAGTTGTGCATTGTACCTTTTTTGGACTGATTTGAATTCAAGATGGCCGACAGGCAGCCATCTTGAATTTTGGAAGTAAAAGTTTGTTACCGCTATTTCTGGGAAAGTACTGGATGGATCTTTCTCAAATTTCATATGCAGTTTCCCCTTGGTCCCTAGTTGTGCATTGTACCTTTTTTGGACTGATTTGAATTCAAGATGGCCGACAGGCAGCCATCTTGGATTTTGGAAGTAAAAGTTTGTTACCGCTATTGGAGTTTGAAAGTAAATGTTTGTTACCGCTATTTCTGGGAAAGTACTGGATGGATCTGTCTCAAATTTCATATGCAGGTTCCCCTTGGTCCCTAGTTATGCATTGTACCTTTTGGACTGATTTGAAATCAAATTGGCCCACAGGCAGCCATCTTGGATGTCAACAGTAATACAGCACAAGCATATTTTCTTGGATATTCTATCATATTGATTCAAGACCATGTCCATTATCCACCTGTAACTGACTGCTATCTAATAATAGTTTGGGCTCTTTTTCAAATGATATTTGCTAACAGGTGCTTAATAAAAATATCTTGTGCCATCATTGAGTACATTCAATGAAGACCAGTTCATAAACATTTACAAAACCTGTAACACAAAAAAAAAATAAACAAATCTTCAAGAACTGAAAACAGATCCTCAAATGGAGGGCGCCAAGATCCCTCTGGGATCTCTTGTTGATATTTTATAGGCAAATATTACAAAAATTTATGCAATTAACACAAGTTAACAAATAATGTTTTATATATATATATATATATATATTGAGTTGTGTGATAGGTGAGGAAAGCCTAGACATTGTGATGGGTAAGATAACAAATAATGTTATATATATCACTTAACATATTGAGTTGTGTGACAGGTGAGGAAAGCCTAGACATTGTGATGGGTAAGATAAAGGAAGGTCTGGATGGAATAGAGAAACAACCAGCCTCCACAGAGAAATACAGTGACCTAGCTACAAGTCCGGCCACATATGGGGTGGTCAAACGACGCCGAGATAACGACTTTGACCTTCACACAGACAAACAGGTAAACACTTTCTTGTTTTGACAAGTTTTCATAGCTTATGACTGAACATATAACAATCCCAAAGTTTCAGAAGTTTTGCTGCATTGATACCTTATTACTTGTGTCACAATATCCATAAAGATATAGTCATTGTTATTGTGATATGTTTTTAGATGTATTCCTGTGGATCTCTTGCACCTAAGATGGGCAGATCAAGAGGAGGTGGTTGTATGGACCATAAGTTCAGGAAGCCGACAGAGCCATGGGAACTTGCTGATGGGTATGCTCAGAATTGTTCTGACATCACTGGTGCTTCACTTGCATAGCTGCCATGCATCATTACACTTAAGCAGCCTTTGTTTAAATTTGACTGAAACTGACAATCACAGTATTTGTGAAGGGCTAAACATTCTAGACAAAAAAAGTTGATGTTATTAGAAAGATCTTTTCTGTTTTTTTCCCTATTTTCATTTTTACTTCCTTATCCTTTATTCCATCCTCAAAACATAGCAAAATAAGATCCCCCTCAAAGTTGACAGCTTTACAGTACACTGTATTTAAATCAAAGAAGTTGATAGATATCATTGCCTGTCAATAACCAATGATTTCATACATCACTAAAATACTATATATTCAGCAGACACTTCAGTTTGTTTATATGTGAAATGCTGTCCTGTGCTAACTATATATTACAGTGATGAGATTCATTGTGTGTACAGGTGTATCCACTTACTTGCTGAACTATCTAATCACCATGACCTTGCTGCACCTGTCAGCCAGATGTTACCTGATGTCGCTAAATCTACATCCTACCAGCATTACACCCAACACATCGTCTACTGTGAAACTCTCTGTAAACAGGTTAGTCTTCATGATTTCTTGAGAACATGAACATCTCAACAGATTTGGTTTAGTTTTACCCTATATTACCATAACACAATTTTGTCATATTAAGCAAGGCCAGTTCCTTCTTTTTTTATGTGCAAGGGTGTTTTGTTTTTTTTTGGGGGGGGGGGGGGGGGGGGAGGCAGGGGGAGTCTTACACACATTTCCATTTTTTTCTTTAAATTCAGTCACTTGTCTATCTCTTTCAATCTTTCAAAAATATCTTTGTTATACAACTAAAAAATATTCATCTAAATCTTTTTTTTAAGTTATTCACCTATTTTAGGTTGAATAACATTTGCATAGATTATTACAATTTTGTTTATGCTGGAAAAGATATCTTGATAGAACTTAGAATTAAACTACATTAACCACTGGTACTGTGTATTGGTCACTAGTTCAAAATGCAATATATCCAGGACAGTTTTGACTGGGCCATGAATTTCAAACTAAATGTCTTGATGAAACTTGAGACATTATCATATTATCAGGTTACTGTGACCGCGATCCAAAGGTCATAGGTCACAATCAGCTTAATATGGAGCAAATCAAAATTATCAAGGTCACTAAGTTAAGGTTATTTTATATGTTTAACTACTGGTAAATATTTTGTTATGACATTATGAAGCAAAATTAGTCAGTATGGAGTAGATAAGTACATGATCAAAGGTTATAGTCAGAGGTCATGGTCCAGATCAGAATGATATTTAACCCGGTGAAGAATTTATGATATAAAAATTATGAAGGTCTAATTCTTTGTCTTTGTAATATTTTATTTCTTTTTTTTTTCTTTTTATGAACAGGAAAAATTTCTTGTCAAATTAGGAGAAACATTTGTTTTTACCAAAAAATAATTTTCTAGTACATTCTCTTCCATTGTTAATTTAATTCAGCTGTCAAATATTGCCAAAGGAATTGGAAAGCGACATTTCAAAATGCATTTAGAGATGTTTCTGGATGTTATATTCTACAGTTTGGTAAGTAAACATTGTTTTTGATTATTAAAACTTACTTGATTGAATGCAAACAGTTAAACTGAAATCCAGTCAGATCATTTGTATTTGCTGTTGGTTGCTGTTTCATCTTTCACTATAAGTTTTTCCATATTGTATAATGTATTGCCATTGTTACATGGAGAAAGATAAAAATTTACTCTCGGATTGATATATCCCTATATTATTCTGTGCTAGAAAACTGTTACTCATGGGACTGGCTCACTATTATTACATCACAAATCAGTAATAGTGCAGTGGGGTCACAACTGGCTGGAATCTCATTGGTCTGTACTGGTTTTCCTTGAGGTATAATCGTTGGGTGATGGCAGCTCACCTGAGTGGTGTGTAGTTTGTGGCTCTGACAATTTTGGTAACTTTTATTGGTTTATATCAGATGGATTTTCTTGATTTTGGTATGAAGTTGTTTAGAACATCACTGTAGATAACATATATTACATCGGACTCATAATTCCATGCGGAAAGGTTGCAATTTGGTGTTTTTTATGCAAATTCCTTCGTGGAATTGTGCAGTGCTGAGTTGTGTTCAGGGATTATACCTACCTGTATAGCTAACACCTCTAAAGAGACAGTGTACTTTACCTGTTCACCATGAGTGAGGAAAACCAGCAAGACTTGACCAGGGATTCTAGCACTACCCGGCAACCCATTAAAAGATCTAGAATAGTCACCAATAGTACTGACAGTGAAGACCAAGTCCTTGAGATAGAGGATATTAACAACAAGTTGGAAACCATTATGAAAACAATAGTGAAAACTGAGGGCCTCAAAGTGATAGTGACAGACATTGTTAATGGATTACTCCAGAATTTCCATGAGGCTATAACAAAAGATATCCATGTGAAAGTGAGAGAAGAAACTAGTGCGATTCGGAAAGAATTAGATAGACTGAACATGGAGAACGAAAGGCTGAAAGAAATGGTGCTTCAACAGAGAAAAGAAATACAGACTTCTACTACAAAGGTGAACACATCAAATAAACTTGCAGAAAAGGCCATGTCCATGGCTAATTATAATGAACAATATAGTAGGAAAACATCAATAAAAGTAATGAACATGGATGACAGGATACCAGACAAAGACCTAGAGAAAGCCTTCTGTGAGAAATTTAAGCAGGAAGCTAAGATTGAGATCAAACCATGGGAAATACTAGCATGTCACAGGATCCCAGGCAAAACCCCCAACAAGACCAAACCAGTGCTTGTGAAGTTTGCACGTAATGACATTAAACACCGTGTGATGAAGGCTCGTAAAGACAAAAGTTTGAGACTAACTTACAACATACGCGAGGATGTTACTAAACTCAATATTGAACTTATACACAGACTGTATGAAGACGAGCGGATTGAATCTGCATGGTATTTCAACTCGCGAGTGTATGGTAAAACTGTGAAAGGAGAACAGAAAATAATTGATATTTATGACAATCTTGACGACAAACTTAAGAAGTAACAGGAACATAGTAAGTTGAAAGTTTATGTTCCAAAGATTGTATGTTTGTTTACACTTGAATCTGCTATTTAAAATTGCCATATCACTATGTCCAATGCATGTACATCACCCCTTCGTCAACCACATGAAATATGACGACCCTATATATGATCCATATAAAGTTCAAAATTATTGATTTACATATAATTAGCTGATCTCCGTATATAAATCAATTAAATATAAAATGTATCATTGTAAAAAAAATAATAATAATTCCTGTTGTACCCTCTAGCTACACATGACTTTATTACCATTTTCGCTCACAAATGTACATGTATTTATGTTGTGAAAACTGACATTATATACCGTGTTTTTAAAAGAAATCCTGTCTGATATTATTGGCTACATGAGCGTGTGTCCGTTGATTTGCTGTTTCTGTCTACATGTACATGTATAAAAGGCCGGGTTAGCTGTTAAAATATTTCTTTCTGTAAGTTGTTCTGATGGTTGCTGTTTATGTGGATGGGAATGTTGATTGTGGGCGGGCGCACGTGTGGTTAATATACGTGCATGTGTGCTTCTGGACTGCACTTTCTTTAACTTTTATCATGCTATGAACATAATTGTTACAGGGATACATAAACTACCAAAGGGAGTTTAGTTGCAACTAATAACCCAGATTAATCCTAGAAAGGCATTGTATTAAAAATGTTAGCATCTCCCTGTAATATATAATGTATATGTGTAAACACAGGATATCTCAAGCTCTCTGGTATCTGCTCATCAATTATCCATTGATGCGATTAGCATGATGGGGGTTTAATATTGATGTTTAGTCTCCGACGTATGCCCTTTGCTTAAATATTAATGAAAAATAACTTTTGATATCTTAGTAGTCTGAGAGATATGTTCCGCACATGAAGTGTTCGGATCCTGTACAGTACAAATGCATTATTTATTAAAATAAAACCTTAAATTGTCATAGTTTAACATAGCTGCAAGCTTAACTATGAGGGAGTCACTCTTGATAATATTGGATGTTATAATCTGTTTGTTTCTTTTGTGTTATTCATGTTTGTTTCTTTTGTGTTATTTATGTTTGTAACATGTGTCAGTGCTGAATTTTCTTTACCTTCTCTAAAACATTTCAAGATTATGTTCTTTCTCTTTAGTAAGCAATCAGTAATTAAAACTATCATTATTGAATATGGATACAATTGATATACTTTCAGCTAATTGTCAGGGCCTTGGGAATAAGGATAAAAGAAAAGACGTTTTTTCATATTTTAGAAGTAAAAAATAAAAGATCTATTGTATTCAAGATACACATTTCACGCATCAGATTGAAAATAGAATAAGGTCAGAATGGGGATATGATTGTTTTTTTAGTTCCTTTTCTTCTAACTTTAGGGGTGTTGCAATATTGTTAAATGATAATTTTGAACATAAAGTTTTTAAAGTGAAAAAAGACGATACTGGGAATTTTTTGGCATTGGATATAGCTATTGATGGAAAACAGATTACACTTATTACGATTTACACTCCAAACACAGATACACGAAATTTTTTTTGAAAACATAGCAAACACTATTGAGGATTTCGGTAACGAATCAGAGATAATATGTTGGGATTTCAACTTAGTTTTAAAACCTAGCATAGATTATGAAAATTATAAGCATATCAATAATCCAAGGTCTAGGGATAATATCGGAAAACCTATTATCTAGTGTTGAGAAAGTAAATATAGAACCTAGTTATAGATCTGACCATTCAATGCCAATAATGAAGATAAAATTCAATAATTTCAAAAAGGGGAAAGTTCTGTGGAAATTTAATAACTCACTCTTAGAAGACTTTCAATATTTAGACCTTGTAAAATCAACAATACATGAAGTAAAAAAACAATACACTATACCAGTCTATAATTTTGCTAAACTTGATGAAATACATGATAATGATATAAACTTAATAATAAATGATCAGCTATTTTTAGAAACATTACTTATGGAAATTAGGGGGGAAACTATCTCATACTCCTCTTTCAAGAAAAAGGAACGAGGTCAAATAGAAATAAACTAAGGGAAGAAATAGCAGAGCTAGAGGCTAGGGAAAATATACCATTAGATGTCTTAAGAGTTAAAAAAGGCTGACTTAGAAAAGAGTAGAAAACAGAAACTTAAGGGTAGTATTATCAGATCAAAGGCAAGATGGATAGAGGATGGGGAAAAACCGACAAGTTATTTTTGCAACCTAGAAAAAAGAAATTTTACTAATAAAATCATACCTAAAATAGAAAAAGATGATGGAGTAATTATTTCAAACCAAGATGGTATCTTAATTGAAATTACCAAATTCTATAAATCTTTATATGATCGTTATGATAATACAGAGAGGGTTGATTTAAACACAATTTTTAGAAAAGATGTTGAGATTCCAAAATTGAATGATCAAGAATGTAATATGTTAGAAGGACCTATTCAATATCATGAGGCAGCTGCGACTTTGAAGAAAATGAAAAATAACAAAAGCCCTGGTTCAGATGGATTTACAGTTGAATTCTTTAAATGCTTTTGGAAAAATATTGGTTATTTTATATTAAGATCAATCAATTTTGGATACTCAACTGGCGAACTTTCTATAACACAGAAACAGGGCATCATTACATGTTTACCAAAGGGAGATAAACCTAGGCAATTTCTTAAAAACTGGCGACCAATTTCTCTATTGAATACTGTATATAAAATTGCATCTAGAGTGATCACAAGTAGAATTAAGACTGTATTAGATAAATTAATAAATATGGATCAAACTGGATTTATTAGTGGGAGGTACATGGGAGAAAACACAAGATTAATCTATGATATGATGCAATATGCAGAAGAATTTGATCTTCCTGGCCTGTTACTTATTATAGATTTTGAGAAAGCCTTTGATTCTGTGTCATGGAAATTTGTTGATGAAGTTTTACTTTTTTAGGTCATCTGACCCGAAGGGTCCGATGACCTATAGTCATCATGCTTCGTCCGTCGTCGTCCGCCGTGCGCCGTCCGCCGTGCGCCGTCCGTAAACTTTTCATTCAAACGACTTCTTCTCAAATACTAGAAGGTCTAGGGGGCTAATACTTGGCACAGAGGATACTGGCATGGAGCTCTACCAAGTTTGTTCAAATGAATGACCTTGACCCACTTTAAAGGTCACAGGGGTCAAATATGTTAAAATCTTTAAACAACTTCTTCTCAATAACCAAAAGGCTCAGATTGCTGATATTGTGCCTGTGGCATGCTGGGATGAAGGGCTATCAAGTTTGTTTAAATGAATGACCTTGAACAACTTTCAAGGTCACAGGGGTCAAATATGTCAAAATCTTTAAATAACTTCTTCTCAAATACCAGAAGGCCTAGGGGGCTAATACTTGGCCCATAGCATGCTGGCATGGAGCCCTACAAAGTTTGTTCAAATGAATGACCTTGGCCCACTTTCAAGGTCACAGGGGTCAAATATGTTAAAATATACAAAGGACTTCATCTCAATAAGCAAAAGTCTATGAGTGCCGATATTGGGTCTGTAGCATGCTGGGAGGAAAGGCTACCAAGTTTATTTAAATGAATGACCTTGAACAACTTTCAAGGTCGCAGGGGTCAAATATGTCAAAATCTTTAAATAACTTCTTCTCAAATACTAGAAGGCCTAGGGGGCTAATACTTGGCCCATAGCATGCTGGCATGGAGCCCTACAAAGTTTGTTCAAATGAATGACCTTGGCCCACTTTCAAGGTCACAGGGGTCAAATATGTTAAAATATACAAAGGACTTCATCTCAATAAGCAAAAGTCTATGAGTGCCGATATTGGGTCTGTAGCTTGCTGGGAGGAAAGGCTACCAAGTTTATTCAAATGAATGACCTTGAACAACTTTCAAGGTCGCAGGGGTCAAATATGTCAAAATCTTTAAATAACTTCTTCTCAAATACTAGAAGGCCTAGGGGGCTAATACTTGGCCCATAGCATGCTGGCATGGAGCCCTACAAAGTTTGTTCAAATGAATGACCTTGGCCCACTTTCAAGGTCACAGGGGTCAAATATGTTAAAATATACAAAGGACTTCATCTCAATAAGCAAAAGTCTATGAGTGCCGATATTGGGTCTGTAGCTTGCTGGGAGGAAAGGCTACCAAGTTTATTCAAATGAATGACCTCAACCCACTTTCAAGGTCACAGGGGTCAAATATGTTAAAATATACAAACGACTTCTTCTCAACAAGCAAAAGTCCATGAGTGCTGATATTGGGCCTGTAAGATGCTTGGAGGAGAGGCTACCAAGTTTGTTCAAATGAATGACCTCAACCCACTTTCTAGGTTTGGCTTGCTTTTTGTCAGATGACCGTTAAGGCCCATGGGCCTCTTGTTTTAATTTCGGACCTAGTATGAGAAAATGGATAACGACTTTGCACAATAATTCTAAATCTGCAGTAAATCAAGGTGGTAGCTTATCTCCCTTTTTCGACATGAAACGAGGCTGTCGACAAGGTGATCCTATTTCCGCTTATTTATTCATATTATGTGCTGAAATTTTGGCCCTTAGAATCAGAAATAATAGAAAAATAAAAGGTATATCAATAGATGGGGAACCAATTTTATTATCTCAATATGCAGATGATACCACAGTTATTCTTGATGGTACAGAAATATCATTAAAAGAAACAATGAAGGAGTTAGATTTTTTTGCAAAACTATCAGGGTTAAGAATAAACGAATCAAAAACTGAGGTTGTATGGATAGGAAGTAAAAAATATAGTAATGATACTTTCTTTCTTGAATGGAGACTACAATGGGGAAATACAAAGTTCTAATATTAGAAGACTACTTACTCCAATTGGAAGACTAACAGTAATTAAAACTTTGGTAATCTCTCAACTAAATCATCTTTTTATTTCACTTCCAAATCCTGATGAAACCTTTATCAAGACTCTTAACACAGAATTATACCATTTCCTATGGAATAGTAAAGTTGATAAGGTTAAACGAGACATTGTTATTAAAGAATATTTAGATGGGGGACTAAAAATGATACATATTATTTCTTTTATAAATTCACTAAAATCTGTTTGGATTCGTAGATTACATTTTGGAAAAGGCAAGTGGAGAAATATTCTTCATGCTAAATTAAACAGTAATATACTTAGTAATTGTGGAAGTGATTTAATTCATGACAACATTAAGAAAACTAAAAATTTATTTTGGAAAGATGTACTAAAATCATGGCTGAAAGTAATTCAGTCTAGCAGTAGTAATAACTATGAATCCTTTTTGAAGTCTCCATTATGGTTCAATAATGATATAAAAATAGCACATAAAACTGTATTCTACAATGATTGGTATCAAAAAGGGTTAAGGATTATTAATGATATAGTTGGTGATAATGGTAAGTGTCTTTCTTATGAAGTTTTCAAGCATAAATATAACATTAGGTGCAACTTTCTAAAGTATCATGGAATCACATCAGTAATAGCAAAAGCACTACACAAATACCAACAAAATAATGAACATGTATCTATAAAATATCCTTATATTCCATTAAGTTTAGAAATTATCCTAAAAAGTAAGAAGGGAGCCAGAGACATGTATGATGTTTTAAGTAAAAATAATGTCACACCCACAGGTAAATTAAAATGGATTAACTACGATATTAATGATGACACATGGAAACAAATCTACATACTTCCTTTTAAAGTCACTAAAAATACCAAATTTCAATGGTTTCAATATAAAATTAATCACCACATTTTGACTACCAACTCTGTGTTGTTTAAAATGGGTGTATCTGATACCTCATTATGTTCATTATGTAAAACAAATAGAGAAACAACTGAACACATTTTGTGGGATTGTCAAGAGGTGAGACGACTGTTACTTAGCTTTGAGAGACTGTCTCAGATTTTTCGTATTAACTTTATATTAAATAAGAAATCTTTCCTTTTTGGTTTCTTAAGCAATGATAAAACAAAGGATGCAGTTGACAATCTGATAAGTTTAATCATTAAATATTATATATATAAAACAAAATGTCTTAAAAATAGCTTATCTATACTTGCACTTTTAAATGAGATTAAGGAAACTTATAAAGTGCAAACGTATATATCGAAAAATCAAAATGAATCCGAGAATTTAAAACCTTTTGGAGAAAATAGTCAACTCTATTAGAATCTAATCCTCACACATAATTCTCTCAAAAGCTGCTTACTTAGTAATGATAGTCAACACTCCTGTTCCTTTCCTAAAAAAAAATAAAAATAGATAAGTATCACATTTCTTTTAGCACTGTACTATGTTACACTGTTTTTTTTTGTTTTTTTTTGTTTTGTTTTATGTCTATTGTCTAGTCTATCTGTTTGATATCTCTTGTCTAGAATGTCACTTGTACAACCTATTTGTATGTCTGTCCTGCTTGTTTACCATGTTTTGTTGTTTATGTAAATATTTCTACTTGTTTGTCTGTCTATTTATATTAGGTTTACCAAAATATTTATTGTTTCTAATGGCTACATGTAAGTGTCTACATGAAAGTGTGTTTGTATGATGAATGAGAGGCATCCTGCGTGATGGCACTTATCTGTACGGAGGCTGATCCCAGGGCTCCTCAACCCTGGCAACCTCCTCCAAATTAATTGCTGAGGGAATAAATATTTTTCTAAACTTTAAAAAAAAAAAAAAAGGTATAATCTACCCTAAGTAGATGGGCCATAAATTGATGGTTCAGCCCTGTTAATGTCACATGCTAAAGATAATGAATACTATGTCACAGCTGTGTTGTAATTTCCACCTTAAGTGGTCAAGTGATTAAGGTGTCTGACTTCTAGCTCTGGGCCTCAGGTTTATGACCTACATGTGGCAGTTGCCAGGTACTATCCCGAGGTCAATGGTTATTCCCCAGAAAGTCCTCCACCACTCAAACTTGGCATGTCCTTAAATGGCCTGTTGTTAAAAAGACTAAAAAGAACCTTAAATCAAGCTTAACAACAAGGTCCATAGATGTGTGATTTTTACTAGTCCAGCTAGTAACGCATGTCAGCCAGGAATAAAATAAGGACTTGTGGTGTTGATATTCTATCATTTTATTTCATGATTTGTAAAGTTACTTCTGTCTTGCAGACCTGTGATAATTCATTGACATCGAGTGCAGCTAGTCAATGCCTGAATCAACTTAGTGCTTTTTTGGGTCCAAACATTCTCAAGGGACGTGTGGAACAGTACAACCCAAGGTAAAAATAATGTCTTAAAGTTAAATTGATACAATCTATCGTTGAAATCAATAAATATGAAGCCAAAAGAATAAATTGATACAATAAAACCACTGGCCAAAAATCATGAAATTCCAGGGTGGAAAATCATACCACCCAAGGTTAAGAATAATGCAACATAATATCAGAAATGATACTACCACATTAAAAAAGAAAGTTAAAGACAACCACATAAATCCCTAACAAGTTTATTAAGTACTTTGCTTATTTCAGAATCAGTGCTAAAAAAAGTTTAACATATAGTGAGTTCAGCAGGATCATAGTGTGAAAATAGAGATTGGTTAAGTAGAGGGAATTAACTTAAAGCAGTTTAAGGGTTTGCCCTGTAACATTCCAAATTAAAAGTTTATCTTTGAATAAAATCTCTAAAAAGTTGATATACACAATAAAATTTGACCTTTGTCTTGTATATTACATTGCAGTTATTTGGAGCATCTGAATGCAAATCAGTGCATTGCAGCATTATAGCAGAGAAATGGATCTATGTAGTAAGTATATATTCTGAAGTGATATTGATGACAATACACAGAGCTCTCTTGACACCGTGTATACAGGCAACACTGCTGATATTGTGTAAAGACCGTACTACTAATATTGTGTATACAGACAACACTACTGATATTGTGTATACAGACAACACTACTGATATTGTGTATACAGACAACACTACTGATATTGTGTATACAGACAGCACTACTGATATTGTATATACAGACAACACTACTGATATTGTGTATACAGACAACACTACTGATATTGTGTATACAGACAACACTACTGATATTGTATATACAGACAACACTACTGATATTGTATATACATACAGTACTACTGATATTGTATATACAGACAACACTACTGATATTGTGTACAGACCGTACTACTAATATTGTGTATACAGACAACACTACTGATATTGTGTATACAGACAACACTACTGATATTGTGTATACAGACAACACTACTGATATTGTGTACAGACCGTACTACTAATATTGTGTATACAGACAACACTACTAATATTGTGTATACAGACAACACTACTGATATTGTGTATACAGACAACACTACTGATATTGTGTATACAGACAACACTACTGACATTGTGAATACAGACAACACTACTGATATTGTGTATACATACAGTACTACTGATATTGTATATACAGACAACACTACTGATATTGTGTACAGACCGTACTACTAATATTGTGTATACAGACAACACTACTGATATTGTGTATACAGACAACACTACTGATATTGTGTATACAGACAACACTACTGATATTGTGTATACAGACAACACTACTGATATTGTGTACAGACCGTACTACTAATATTGTGTATACAGACAACACTACTAATATTGTGTATACAGACAACACTACTGATATTGTGTATACAGACAACACTACTGACATTGTGAATACAGACAACACTACTGATATTGTGTATACATACAGTACTACTGATATTGCATATACATACAGTACTACTGATATTGTGTATATGGACAACACTACTGATATTGTGTATATGGACAACACTACTGATATTGTGTATACAGACAACACTACTGATATTGTATATACATACAGTACTACTGATATTGTGAATACAGACAACACTACTGATATTGTGTATATGGACAACACTACTGATATTGTGTATACAGACAACACTACTAATATTGTGTATACAGACAACACTACTGATATTGTATATACAGACAACACTACTGATATTGTGTATACAGACAACACTACTGATATTGTGTACAGACCGTACTACTAATATTGTGTATACAGACAACACTACTGATATTGTGTATACAGACAACACTACTGATATTGTATATACAGACAACACTACTGATATTGTATATACATACAGTACTACTGATATTGTATATACATACAACACTACTGATATTGTGTATATGGACAACACTACTGATATTGTGTATACAGACAACACTACTGATATTGTGTATATACAGACAACACTACTGATATTGTGTATACAGACAACACTACTGATATTGTGTATACAGACAACACTACTGATATTGTGTATATGGACAACACTACTGATATTGTGTATACGGACAACACTACTGATATTGTATATACATACAGTACTACTGATATTGTGTACAGACCGTACAGACCGTACTACTAATATTGTGTATACAGACAACACTACTGATATTGTGTATACAGACAACACTACTAATACTGTGTATACAGACAACACTACTGATATTGTATATACATACAGTACTACTGATATTGTGTACAGACCGTACTACTAATATTGTGTATACAGACAACACTACTGATATTGTGTATACAGACAACACTACTGATATTGTGTATACAGACAACACTACTGATATTGTATATACATACAGTACTACTGATATTGTATATACAGACAACACTACTGATATTGTGTATACAGACAACACTACTGATATTGTGTATACAGACAACACTACTGATATTGTGTACAGACCGTACTACTAATATTGTGTATACAGACAACACTACTGATATTGTGTATACAGACAACACTACTGATATTGTGTATACAGACAACACTACTGATATTGTGTATACAGACAACACTACTGATATTGTGTACAGACCGTACTACTAATATTGTGTATACAGACAACACTACTAATATTGTGTATACAGACAACACTACTGATATTGTGTATACAGACAACACTACTGATATTGTGTATACAGACAACACTACTGACATTGTGAATACAGACAACAATACTGATATTGTGTATACATACAGTACTACTGATATTGCATATACATACAGTACTACTGATATTGTGTATATGGACAACACTACTGATATTGTGTATACAGACAACACTACTGATATTGTGTATACAGACAACACTACTGATATTGTATATACATACAGACTACTGATATTGTGAATACAGACAACACTACTGATATTGTGTATATGGACAACACTACTGATATTGTGTATACAGACAACACTACTAATATTGTGTATACAGACAACACTACTGATATTGTATATACAGACAACACTACTGATATTGTGTATACAGACAACACTACTGATATTGTGTATATGACCACTACTATATTGTGTATACAGACAACACTAATATTGTGTATACAGACAACACTACTGATATTGTGTATACATACAGTACTACTGATATTGCATATACATACAGTACTACTGATATTGTGTATATGGACAACACTACTGATATTGTGTATACAGACAACACTACTGATATTGTGTATACAGACAACACTACTGATATTGTGTAAACAGACAACACTACTGATATTGTGTATACAGACAACACTACTGATATTGTGTATACAGACAACACTACTAATATTGTGTATACAGACAACACTACTGATATTGTGTATACAGACAACACTACTGATATTGTGTATACAGACAACACTACTGACATTGTGAATACAGACAACACTACTGATATTGTGTATACATACAGTACTACTGATATTGCATATACATACAGTACTACTGATATTGTGTATATGGACAACACTACTGATATTGTGTATACAGACAACACTACTGATATTGTGTATACAGACAACACTACTGATATTGTGTATACAGACAACACTACTGATATTGTGTATACAGACAACACTACTGATATTGTGTATACAGACAACACTACTAATATTGTGTATACAGACAACACTACTGATATTGTGTATACAGACAACACTACTGATATTGTGTATACAGACAACACTACTGACATTGTGAATACAGACAACACTACTGATATTGTGTATACATACAGTACTACTGATATTGCATATACATACAGTACTACTGATATTGTGTATATGGACAACACTACTGATATTGTGTATACGACAACACTACTGATATTGTGTACAGACCACTACTGATATTGTGTATACAGACAACACTACTGATATTGTGTATACAGACAACACTACTGATATTGTATATACATACAGTACTACTGATATTGTATATACAGACAACACTACTGATATTGTGTATACAGACAACACTACTGATATTGTGTATACAGACAACACTACTAATATTGTGTATACAGACAACACTACTGATATTGTGTATACAGACAACACTACTGATATTGTGTATACAGACAACACTACCGATATTGTATACAGACAACACTAATGATATTGTGTATACAGACAACACTTCTGATATTGTGTATACAGACAACATTACTGATATTGTGTATACAGACAACACTACTGATATTGTGTATACAGACAACACTACTGATATTGTGTATACAGACAACACTACTGATATTGTGTACAGACCATACTACTAATATTGTGTATTGTGATACAGACAACACTACTGATATTGTGTATACAGACAACACTACCGATATTGTATACAGACAACACTACTGATATTGTGTATACAGACAACACTACTGATATTGTGTATACAGACAACACTACTGATATTGTGTATACAGACAACACTACTGATATTGTGTATACAGACAACACTACTGATATTGTATATACAGACAACACTACTGATATTGTATATACAGACAACACTACTGATATTGTGTATACAGACAACACTACTGATATTGTGTATACAGACAACACTACTGATATTGTGTATACAGACAACACTACTGATATTGTGTATACAGACAACACTACTGATATTGTGTATACAGACAACACTACTGATATTGTGTATACATACAGTACTACTGATATTGTGTATACATACAACACTACTGATATTGTGTATACAGACAACACTACTGATATTGTATACAGACAACACTACTGATATTGTATATACAGACAGCACTACTGATATTGTGTATACAGACAACACTACTACTGATATTGTGTATATTGACAACACTACTGATATTGTGTATACAGACAACACTACTGATATTGTGTATACAGACAGCACTACTGATATTGTATATACAGACAACACTACTGATATTGTGTATACAGACAACACTACTGATATTGTGTACAGACCGTACTACTAATATTGTGTATACAGACAACACTACTGATATTGTGTATACATACAGTACTACTGATATTGCATATACATACAGTACTACTGATATTGTGTATACAGACAACACTACTGATATTGTGTATACAGACAACACTACTGATATTGTGTATACAGACAACACTACTGATATTGTGTATACAGACAACACTACTGATATTGTGTATACAGACAACACTACTGATATTGTGTATACAGACAACACTACTGATATTGTGTATACAGACAACACTACTGATATTGTGTATACAGACAACACTACTGATATTGTGTATACAGACAACACTACTGACATTGTGAATACAGACAACACTACTGATATTGTGTATACATACAGTACTACTGATATTGC